CATTTCAATAGATGAAGATAAAAACGTTTGACAAAATCTTACATGCATTCCTGATAAAAACTTTCTGCAAACCAAGAACTGTAGGGAAATCATGCAACTTGATAAAGAAGAGTCACAAAAAAATCTACAGCAAACATCATTCTTAATGGACAAAGACTGAATGTTTTGTTCCTGAGATGAGGAATTAAAGCAAGGATTTCTGCTGTTACCACTTCTATTCAACATTAAGACATCCATATGGGAAAGAAAGAGAGAAAACTTTCTTTATTCACAGGCAACATAAGCATCTACGGGGAAAATCCTACAGTACCTACAACAAAACTACAAGAACTAATAAATAAGTTTAGCAAAGTTGCAGGATATAAGATCAATATACAAAAAGCAACTGTATTTCCCTATGTGAGCAACAAACAATCAGATATAAAATATATGAAAAACAAGGATAAACCTGACAAAACACGTGTAAGACCTGACACGGAAAACTACAAAACATTCCTGATAATATTAAGAAGTTAACAGTGGGAAAAACTAGGTGAGTGGTATAACAGTATTCTAGGTACTATCTCTGCAACTTTTTGTTAAATCTAAAGTTATTCTAAAATAAAAGGTTCACCAAAAAGAAAATCATTCCTGAGAAAAATTAAAGACCTAAATAAATGAGAGGCATACTGCATTCATGTGTCAAAAGACTCAACATTGTTAAAATTCTCCCCAAACTGATATAGAGATTCGATGTAATCCCCATCAAAATTCCAGAAGGGATTCTTGAAGACACTGTCAAGCTCCCGAATTGCTAAAGCAATCCTGAGAAAGAAGAACAAAGCCAGGGGCATCACAATCCCTGACTTCAAAGCGTACTACAAAGCTACAGTAATCAAAACAGAATGGTACTGGTACAAAAACAGGTGCACAGATCAATGGAACAGAATTGAAAGCCCAGAAATAAAACCACACATCTATGGACAGCTAATCTTTGACAAAGGAGCTGAGGGCCTACAACGGAGAAAAGAAAGTCTCTTCAACAAATGGTGCTGGGAAAACTGGACAGCCACATGTAAAAGAATGAAAATTGACCATTCTCTTTCACCATTCACAAAAATAAACTCAAAATGGATCAAAGACCTAAAGATTAGGCCTGAAACAATAAGTCTTCTAGAAGAGAATATAGGCAGTATACTCTTTGATCTCAGTTTCAAAAGAATCTTTTCGGACACCATAACCCCTCAGATGAGGGAAACAATAGAAAGAATAAACAAATGGGACTTCATCACACTAAAGAGCTTCTTCAAGGCAAGGGAAAACAGGATTGAAACAAAAAAACAGCCAACTAATTGGGAAAAAATATTTACAAGTTGTTTATCCAAAAAAGGGTTAATCTTCATAATATATAAAGAACTCACAGAGCTCAACAACAAAAAATCAAACAACCCAATCAAAAAATGGGCAGGGGACATGAACAGACATTTCTCCAAAGAAGATATATGGATGGCCAATAGACACATGAAAAGAGGCTCATCATCACTAATCATCAGGGAAATGCAAATCAAAACTACACTAAGATATCACCTTACACCTGTTAGAATGGCAAAAATATCCAAAACCAAGAGTGACAAATGTTGGAGAGGTTGTGGAGAAAAAGGAATCCTCATACACTGTTGGTGGGAATGCAAACTGGTGCAGCCACTATGGAAAAGAGTATGGAGATTTCTCAAAAAGTTAAAAATAGAAATACCTTATGACCCAGCCATCCCACTACTGGGTATCTATCCTAAGAACCTGAAATCAGCAATTCCAAAAGTCCCATGCACCCCTATGTTCATGGCAGCATTAGTCACAATAGCCAAGATATGGAACCAACCTAAGTGTCCAGTAACTGATGATTGGATGAAGAAGATATGGTATATATACAAAATGGAATACTACTCAGCCATAAAAAAGGACAAAGTCATCCCATTCACAACAACATGGATGGACCTTGAAGGTATTATGTTGAGTGAAATAAGCCAGACAGAGAAAGACGAACTCTGTATGACTCCACTCACAGGTGGTAGTTAACATATAGACAAAGAGAACTGATCGGTGGTTACCAGGGGAAAGGGGGGGTGGGGGCAGCGCACAAAGGGTGAAGTGGTGTACGTACAACATGACTAACAATAATATACAACTGTAATTTCACAAGGTTGTTAACTATCATAATCTTAATAAAAAAAAAAGAAACTGTCAAGCTGATTCTAAAATTCACATGGAAAAGCAAAGAACCTGGAATAGCCAAAATAACTTTGAAAAGCAAGATGACAGCAGAAAGACAAGTACTTCCTGGTTTCAATATATATTATAGGTATAGTTATTAAGAGAGTATGGTATTGGCATCAAGATAGAAAAAAAAAAATCAATGGAACAGAATAAAGTCCAGAAACAGACCTACATATATATGGTCAGCTGATTTTTGACAAAGGTTCAAAAGGCAGTAGGTGAAGGAATACTCAACCTAAGATGATGGAATAATTAGATATCCACATGCAAGAAAATCAACGTCAATCTATACTCCATGCCAAATGCAAGAATTAATTAAAGATGTATCATAGGTCTAAATGTAAAACTTAAAATCTATAAAACTCTCAGAACAAAGCATAGAAGATATTTGTGATGTTGAGTTAGGCAAAGATTTCTTAGATGCTACACAAAAAGCATAATCCAATATAGAAGAAATTGGTAAATCAGATTTCACCAAAACATACAACTTCTGCTCTTTGAAAAACACCATTAAGAAAATGAATAGACAAGCCACTGGGAAAAATTATCTACAGAGCATATAGCCAATAGTTGTATCCAATGTATTTAAAGAACTTTTGAAAATTCAGCAATAAGAAAACAATCCAAGAAAGAAAGGGGCAAAAGATGTGAAAATATTTCAAGATTTGAAAATATTTCAGAAGACATATAGCTGGAAAATTAGCACACGAAGAGATGCTCAACATCATAATTTATTAGGGAAATGAAAATTACAGCCACAATGAGATATTACACACCTATTACAATGAATGGTTAAAAAGACTGACCATACCAAGTGTTGATGAGGGTGTGGAGCAACTGGAACTCTAATACACTGCTGGTGGGATTGTAAAACGGTACAATCACTTCGGAAAATAGCTTGGCAGTTTCTTAAAAATTCAAATATAAATCTATCATATCATCTAGTAATTCCACTCACAGGTATTTACTTAAGAGAAATGAAAGCATATATGCATGTAAAGACCTGAACACAAATATTCATAATTGCTTTATCAGTAAAAGTCAAAAGCCAGAAACAACTCAAATGTCCATCAATAAGTGACTGGATCAACAAATTGTGATATATCTGTAAAAGGGAAAACTACTCAGCAATAAAAAAGAATAAACTATTATTACGTGCAACAACATGGATGAATCCCCAATTATTATACCGACTGAAAGAAGTCAGACACAAAAAGAGCGCACACTGTATGATTCTGTTTATATAAAATTTTAGAAAATGCAAACTGTGCTATCAATGACAAAAAAGCAGATTAGTGGCTTCCTTAGGATGGGGGCAGGAAAGAGGAATTACCAAGAGGCAGTAGAAATTTTGGGGTTGATGGATATGTTCATTATCTTGATTGTGGCGATGATTTCACAGGTATAAATATATGTCAAAACTTATCAAATTGTTCAATTTCAACACGCAGATTATAGTACACTAATGACACCTAAATAAAGCTGTTAAAAATGTTAGTTTAAAAGAAAGATGCATCTAATAATTTGCTTTCCCAGTCAAAACCAAACGCGTGGCTGGCACCCTCCATTTAAGAAACTCAGCTACCCTGAGGTTAGTGCCTAGAGGAAAAAGCTACTAGAAGTTTCCATGGGTTATTTACCCTTCTATTGGGGAGGTGAGCTTAGACAAACCTTTAGATTCAAACTTCCCAAGTCACACTATCAATCACATCTCTTTCCTACCATTTATTAAAATATAAAACACAGAAAAAGTATACAAATAACAAAAATAAAAGAAAGATGCACATACTTGCTGCAAGGGAGCCAACACGAAAAGGAAAAATAATCACTTATATGACTGACAGTGCCCAAAGCTAAAAACAAATTAGCTGCTCAGTAGAAGTACACCTATTCTTGCTGCTAAAAGACCCATTCTTCCCACAGGACCCTGTAATAGACAGAGGTACTCTCACTAGCACCCTCACTGAGGGGATGACAAGCTAGGGGGTCGGGGCAGGAGGAATATTTCTTATGATGCCCCTCAATACAGGCCAAGGGCAAGAAACCACAGCAAAAGTCGGGACAGGAGGCCCATCAAGATAGGCAGCTCTAATCATCACACTTAAAACAAGTAATAAATTTTAGAAAATTTAGAGGACTGTGTGGGTCTCAGACCCCTCAGATAATCCTCCATAAATATTATTTCACTCCACAGAATACGGATAAATATTGAATAGTCAGTTAAAGACCATTCCCCCAGGCAAATGTTTGAAGTGCACTGTTCTATAGTGCCACGTGCTGGTGGCTAGCTGAGCCGGCCACCACCCTGCCTCACCCTGGCATGGGCCGAGGGACTCCATCCACTTAGGTCAGTACCCAGAGTGTCCTAGAGAAACTGTCAAATGGAGTGTGCTCCGGGTTTCACCTTCTCATTCACTCTGTGTCGCCAGGACTCCAATTACTTAAAATTTATTTATCACATTTTTAAGACTCATTTTAAGGTACCTGATTAAATAATTTTTGAGTAAGGGCATAAATCAGATCAAACCAAGTATTTAAGATAAAAAATGTGCAGTTGAAATAGATTTAAAATGCAACTGCAAGCTTCTGAAAGGACAGAAAGGAAGAGATTGAGAAAGCAAGACCCAGAAGAAGTAGGCACCAGTGGCCTTTCATGGAGTGTTCTGACAAAACCACTACCAAACTTGAGAAGCCTGATGACTCAAATAACCTGTGACTAAGTAGAATAAAAAAGTAAAATTTCCTACCTTACAAGCTGAGGCAAGCAGAGTCTTTGAATTGCTACAAGCAACACAGAATATTTCATAACCGTGTCCATATCTAAGATTCAAAAAGAAAAAATGCATGACCCCTATATTAGTAAATGTACCTACTCTCATGCTGCAAAATTTTAAAATTGTGAAGAGAATAATATCAATCTCTCTAGCTTACATACAATTTTTTTAGGGAACACTACTGTCTAGGCAAATATTTGGGGAAAAAAACAGACTGGAAGAAAAGGCCAGCTTTCTAGAAGTAATACAACTTATTCAAACAATTAGATTAAAACACGAGTTTTCACCCCCAGTACGTAAACACCCCCAGTATGTAAACAATAAACCATGGAAAGGTTTTGACGGGGAACCACCAAAGGAAAAAAAAACCAGAATAATAAATTTTAAGTCTTTTTAAGAAAGGAAAACTATACATAAGGTTATGCTTCCCTACTTAAAAAATTAAGACCAACAAACAAAACTAGTAAGTATAATACACAGTAATATAAAAATCTATGTGAAGTTTGATTCTTGCCCCTTTGTCAAGGCCACTGAAAGACCTTTAGAGTGAGGGGGAAAACGCAGGGAAGAGGAAAGCAAAGGAGAAAATCAAGTTGCGGATGAAAAAAATCACAAGTTATGACAGAACCAAAGAGCTAAGAACAGTTTAACTTACAGTTTTTGAACTTCAGGCCACAAAGTATTCTGCAGAAGATGATCCTCAGTGGGAGGTTCTACAACAAATTTACAGCGTTGCAGTAATTTTTTCTATTTATCATGCAAAGAAAAAGTGAATTCTATAGTACGATTTAGGTCAGCAGTGGCAGATATCATATCATGTGTAATAATGGTTCTATTAAACCATCTTTTTGCCTCTTCTTACCAGTAAGTATGGAGGGTTGAAAGGCCACCTGGTGGTACTCGAAACCAGTACTAGTTAACAGCTCCTCTCCATCAGAAGGCTGAGAAGCTATATCTCCTAGTTTAAAAGAACAGATCAACATCATGAACGTAGTTACCATCTTTATGTCTCCTATACATGTCCCAATATTAAGGCCACCAGTTAGAAAGTGGCGGCACTTCAAAGTAGTATACTTCAAAGTCATCCCTGTGATTCCAAAGCCAAGGGTATTTCTACTTCTCCAGAATTTTCCAAATGTGCTCCTTAGAGCACTAGTCAATTCCATAAAGATTCCTTCCTTTTTCTTCCAACTAACATTTCCCAAACTTTTAAAACTATGGAACAGATTCTTCAGGCTGCCTATACTAACATCCTCGGTTGTAGTGCTCCAAGAAATACACTTTGTGAAAGCTGAACCTATTTCAGGGTCTGCATGTATACACAGAGTACTTATCATGAAATATCTGATGGAGAAGACAGATATATATATATATTGTGATTTTTTAAAAAATCAGCTGTAATGAACATTAGGTACGTGTTATACAAGTGCGTAACTAGGTTTTTTTGTGTTTTTTTTAAAGATTTTATTTTTTCCTTTATCTCCCCTAAGCCCCCCAGTACATAGTTGTATATTTCTCATTGTGGGTTCTTCTAGTTGTGGTATGTGGGACGCTGCCTCAGCGTGGTTTGATGAGCAGTGCCATGTCCGCGCCCAGGTTTCGAACCAACGAAACACTGGGCTGCCTGCAGCGGAGCGCGCGAACTTAACCACTCGGCCACAGGGCCAGCCCCCTGTAACTAGGTTTTAAGTACCACTATGGGTTCAATAATTTTGGACACTAAAGCCTTACCCTGAAAGACAGCTTTATTTGATAATCCCAAAGCAGGGACGGTAGCTCCTTCTGGAAGATCACCATCTTGCTGGAATAACAAGTATGATACATGCTTTAAACAATAAAAGTTACTGTGGTGCTACAAAATGTTAAATTCATAAGTGCTGAGAAGCAGTTAAAACACCACCTTGTGTGGATATCTGCCCACACTTCCATTTCCTGAACCAACAGATGCAAGACTAAGCAATCATTCTCCAACTGACAGGCTCCAGCTAACCCACACTTCCTACCCAATTTATGAAGTTGGGCATCCTCTCATCCATGAGCTCACTGAACCCTAACAGCTTGATGGGTCTCAGAGTCTGACAAGGAATGCACCGGGCTGGCTTCTAGCAAAGAGTGGGCTGGAAATGGAAGGCCCGGAGCTCTACTTCCAAGAGTCTCACAGGCACATCCCTGATGATGCTCATGCAAACAAAGACGTTTCCCAGAAAGACACAGTCACAGTATTTTCATTAAACATATTTAAATAATTGAACATTTTGAAACTTTGTAACAGAATGCTATTTGAATAATCTGCTTATACTCTGTAATTTATATCAATCGAATTATCTCATATGAGATTAACCATCAAAACTGGCACATGTCCATAAACCAAGAATGTTTCTTACAATTTAGACTTTAATATAGGGGCTGGAACTTAACACAAACATGAGCAATGGGAATTTAAGCCATCATCAAGACATAAGAGACTGAATGCTTTATCTCAAAAGCCAAGAAAAATGAAAACAGTAGGGAAAAGAAAAGTAAGAAATATCCCTACATCACTATCCCTACATTCAGTATGGAAACAAACCCCAAAATACAGCAAGAAGCTTTCCAGTCTATAGGATTCCTGTATCTTAAGACACAGAATTGAGTATATACCTGGGAGCGAGCCTCTCATGGAATCCTAAAACCACATTTCAATGCCTAGAATTCAGAGATCTTGAAACTAATTGCCCTTCCACCCCTAAAGCTCTATATAATAATGACAATCAAGACCTCCCTTTTGCTCTCAAGCCTGTTATCCACTGTGATTAGAAACAAGCAGGAGAGAATCTTAAATCTCCACATAATCGAGAAACCTGTAGCATGAGGCGCTCGGTATACACTCCAGGAAATTTAGTTGGACATTTCATTTCAAATGACTCACTTTCTTCTGCAATCCTACCCAGACTGGTGCTAGTTTCCCTGCTTTCAGAGCCTCAGGGCTCAAATGTATCCTGCTCCCACTTAACTCTTTCACCCAAAAGTGTTTTCATCACTTTCTTTGTTTAGGGACCTCCAAAGGCACCTCATAGTCTAAACTGTGTCTGCCTTCCAAGGTCCTCCACCATCTGACTTTCCTCCAACCTCTCCACTTCCCTCTATATACTCTTCATTCCAACAGCTCTGGCCACCCTACTGATCCCTCCCCCTCTCTCTCTCCTTCCTTCCGCCTATCAAAAGTGTACTTACCCTTTTCAAGCTCAGAAATAAACTTGTGACCCAACTCTAGGTAAAATAAGGACCGTACGATATGCACTTCTGTGAAACACAGCTATCTTCCTACTTAATTTCCCTTTCTTCAAAACTAGTTACAATTTTTATAACCTATGTGTTTTTATAAGTACTCAAAACTTTTGTAGAAACGGAGTAAATAAAAACTTGCCCTTTCAAAACCCAAATGAAGTCTCCTTAAATGTTTTCCCATTACTCCTATACAGTGACCTCTTCCTTCTATGAAACTTACTTTGGCCACCACAGGATTTAGCAATTACCTGGTCTCATCTCATAATTGCAGGTGTGTTAGTTCCACTGCTCCCTACCCCAAACTACACCTAGATCGCAATCTCCTTGAAAATATGACCCACCTATTATATTTTTTTTATCATAGGTACCTAGCACAGTGATGATACATAGTATTCGTGCCTTAATTTAACATTTTAATTCTGCCTCAGTGTCTTGGGCTCCTTTGCTACAAAATTTCTGGTTTTAATATTTAAATCACCGCATGCCATTCACTACATGCCATCATGCACACACAAGTTTGTCAAGCCAATAATAAATTATGTGACTTCCTTTCTACCCGTATATTCCATTCATAGCCTTAAGCAAAAATTTTTTAAATTTAAAACGAGGTGACTAGATTTAGTTAAAACATTTAGAAGAATACGCACATCACAAAGCACATGAGCCAGTGATTGGCCCGTAATGGCACAAAAACTTTCCACGAAATTCCGAGGTGCAGAAAATACTCGAAGAACTTTTTCATCAGCTCCAGATACAAACTGAAACCGATTAATCATTGCCAAACATTTCAGATCATATCCATGTATCTGAGGCCTTGCAATTTCATGCCAAGTCACCTGGGTATTAAAACAGGACAAACAAAAATGATTATATACATTTCAAAAACGATCATACGTTTCAAAAACTGAATTATTTTTAACAAGCAAAATAACAGATGCAAAATTATTATGCCATGGAAACAAGACTATGGGGCAGATTCATCCATGCTGTAGTGTTAATCAATAGTTGAATCCTTTTTATTACTGACTAGTATTCCCCTGCATGGATACACCACAACTTGTTGATTGAGTTGTTTCCAATTTCTGACTTTTACTGAAAAGGCAGTCATGAACATGCATGTACAAGTCTTTGCATGGATATACGCTTCTATTTCTCTTGGGTAAATACCACCTATAAGTAGAATGGCTGGATGATACAGTAGATGCATATTTAAACTGTTAAAAACCTACCAAACTATTTTTCAAAGTGGTTGTACATTTTACAATCCACCAGCAGCATATGAGAGCTCCAGTTGCCCACACCCTCACCAAACTTGGTATAGTCAGTCTTTTAACTTTAATTATTCTAATAGGGGTATAATGGTATCTCCTTGTAGCTTTCATTTGCATTTCTCTAACAACTAATAGTGTTGAGCATCTTTTCCTGTTCTTATTTTCCATCCATATACCTTCTTTGGACAAATATCTGTTCAAATCTTTTGCCCATTTTTTACTGGATCGTTTGTTTTCCTATTACTGAGTTCTGAAAAGTTCTTTATATACTCTGGATACAAGCCCTTTGTCAGATATGTGCTTTATAAATACCTTCTCCCAGTTTGTGACTTGTCTTTTCATTTTCCTGACAGTATCTTTCAAAAAGGAGAAATTTTACATTTCGGTGAAGTCCAATTTATCGATATTTTTTTTAATGAATCATGAATGAACAACAACTCAGCTGTATCGGTTACAAATCACCAAGAGCCACAGAAAACCACTCCAAATCATTTGTCTTGTCTTTTAATTGACTATAGATGTTGCTCCCAAAGTCCTCAACTCTATTAATTTGAGTCTATCATGTGCTACTGAAGCAGTAATGTCAGTAGCAAACTTCATTAGCTCTCATGGACTAACTCATAGTTCTATGAATTTTTGTCAGAAATTGAAGCTGAGTACACTGATTTTCTCTACCACATACCAGTTCAATGGCTTACCAGTGGTAAAGTTTTACTGCAATGTTTTTGGTCTTAGAGCCAAGATTGAAAAGTTTCTTGAACAAGAACTGCCCTCAACCACTATTATCTAATACTATATGACTTTAGAAATTAACTTTACTGCATACTTGATAGTGCTCCCTAGTGTAGTAAAACTAAAATTACAAGATATAACAGAACTTTTATGTTGAACTGAAGTAAATATGTTTTGATACCTAATATTTGAATTGTCTGAATTGTAAAGGGTATCTGTATGCCTGAGTTTTCAAGAAAATGCTGAACTATTTTCCAGAGTGGCGTACCATTTTGTATGCACACTAACAATATATGTAAGTTCCACTTGTTCTGCAGCCTTACTACTTATTGTCAGTATTTTTTACTTGAGCCATTCTAGAAGGTGTGTAGTAGCATCTGGACATGGTTTTAATTTGCATTTCCCTAATGACTAATGATGTTTCCCAACTTTTCATGTGTTCGTGAATGTTTTCAAAGTGAGTCAGTCAAGTAGGAAGATATTTTACCTGTGATTGGTCTTTTCTCTTCCATGGAGCAAAAAGTCGAGTTGTCTGGTCAGTACCAACAGTGATGATAAATTCTCCTTCTGGATCCCACGTTAGGTCTTGGACACCATCAAAGTGTCCCGAAATGACAATCTCTGGAGTCCACTCTCTCTGCAGTGAGAGTGCTCGTGATATATATCAAAATAATCAAAGACTCATCACTACTCAAAATAAAGTCTGAGAAATGCCTTCAGGCCTCATGTCCGATAAGGGGAAAGATTGAAGCCCCTAGGCAAGGTGAAAAGCTAAGTATACAAGATGGGATCTTAAATTAATAGGATCCGTTTTCCAATCAAATGTATTAAAACTTAAACATTCAAATCTGTGTTGTGTCCTTTAAAGCAGTAACCCTGGGTAGTTCCCTTCCATTCATCATTTACTGAAGGCCTCCAAGAAGCCATACATTACTTATCCTTTCTGTGCCTCAATTAACTCTTCCGTAAAAGAGTCACCCAGCTCACAGGGTCCTTATGACGATTAAATGAGTTTACATTTGTCAAGCACACAGAACGATGCTGGCACATACTAGGCATTATGTAAGTATTTACATGTTAAACTAAATAATAAAGAAAGACTATTGTGTAAAATGAGTTAGATTCTGAGTGTGTGCATGATGGTTTTATTAAGTAAAGGGAATTTCAGGTGTAGAGAACAGAAGGCTGAACCAAACCTCGTTGGTCCACCTACTGAGGGAGCCTGGACCAATAACCATATAAAACAGTGACAATGAAATACAGAAAATGTCATACACATGGTCCACACAGCATCTTTTTGAACAACCTCAAGCAGTGGTAAAACTTGTCTTTAGAGGAAATCAAATTTGTATAAATAGCTAAAAGGTCATTTAAAGCCAAGTATGATGAATAGGGTCAGTGATTAAGCTAAGCTATATTATTTTCTGGTCAAAAAAATAAAAAGGCTGTGACAAAGAAACACTACTAATTTCCTCTATGACATAAAAACTGATTCTAAAGTTAGCACTCATGGGAGTTTCCAAAAAGTTTCTACAAAGGGCAGCACTTTTGTACTATCAGTACAGTTTTCCATTGTAAAGTCCTAAAGAGCAGTGTTTGTTCATAAAAAATCACTCGATTATAACAAAGGTACTGCTCTGATTTGGGATATTGACAATGGAGGAGGCTGGAGGTGGGGGCAAGCGGACAGGGGTATATGGGAACTCTATACTTTCTGCTCAATTTTTCTGTGAACCTAAAACTGCTCTAAAAAATAAAGTCTATTAAAAAAAAATCACCCTCAATACTTGGTAAGTAGCTATTATAAACCTGAAGTCAAATTATAAGCACAAGTACAGTGAAATTCTGTCTTCTGGTTTGAGTTTCTCCTTATTCATCTGATGCTGTTTTCTATGAAGTCCCTAAAAGATGAGCTGATGAAATATGGCTCAAAGTAGCTCCAAGTTAAGAATGAAAGTAAATTTATCCTAAAAATATTTCTTATTTAAAAGCGCCATGGTGATGATTCCCTGGTTCATTTAATAGTGGAAACAATCTTAAAGTTCAACTCCAAATGGAAGACACAAGGGAAAGAATAAAGCACTCTATGTATTGAAAAGCCAAATCCCCATAGGTGACACAATTATTACAAAGCCCACAAACTAAAGGTTATGCAAATCAGTGAATTTTCACTTTATAAAGGAAGCCATCAGATGCACACAGAATCTGCTGACTCACATTTCACTCAGTGTTCTCATTTCTTTCATTTATTTAATTTAAAATACATATATACTGTATCTAGTTATGTGCCAGGCCCTATTTTTCATACTCTACAAACATTAACTTATTTAAGCATCATAAAACCCTATGAGTAGGTGCTATTACTTCCTATATTTTACAGATGAGGAACCAGAGAGAGAAGTTAGGTAATGTCCTCAAGGACACACAGCTAATAAGTGAAGGGGCCAGGATTTGAACACATGCTCTCTAGCCCCAAGGCCTGTGCTCTAAGCCGTCACTATGTTCCTGCTACCTCATTTCCCAAACCGAAAGCAGCAGATCAGAAGCAAATCAGAAAGAGATGGAACACTGCTGAGAGGCAGCAATGTGGCTAGAGGCAGACTACCTCTTTTTGAGAAGAGATAAAAAAATTATGAGAAAGCTCCAAAAGAGCCCAATATTTGGAGGGCCATTTAGAATTACACACATCAACAGCCTTACCTAAGAGCATCAATATATTCCATCACAAAATAACAGGTGCTCCTAATGCTCTTTTCAATAATTATCTATAGAGCACCTAGCTGTCCAACTAGAAAATATCAAGTTATATTATCTTCTTTAGAAAGGCAGGGAAGTTACACATTTTAGGAAAAACTGCCATCAAAAAATTTACATAGCTTAAAGAGACAGTTTAAATTTATGTAGCTTAACGCTCACTTATGTAGAAAACTTACCTATGTGCAAATTTCAATACCCCAACAATGCTGGACAGATGAATACTTTTATTCTTAGAAAACCATGAGTTTCTTACCTAGTATAACTACAGTATAATGCCTACAGAAAGAAGTGATGGCATTTGAACTTAAATGCTTCTATTATATTTCTATAGAGTGTCATGAGTAAAACAACACTGTTTATCTAGGTTTCATTTAGAATTCACTCTATTTGATCAAAAATGCTTTATTTAAAATGCTTTTCTTGGGGCTGGCCCCATGGCTGAGTGGTTAAGTTCGCGCGTTCTGCTGCACGTGGCCCAGTATTGGTTTGAATCCTGGGCGCGGACATGGCACTGCTCATCAAACCACGCTGAGGCAGCGTCCCACATGCCACAACTAGAAGGACCCACAACGAAGAATATACTATACAACTATGTACTGGGGGGCTTTGGGGAGAAAAAGGAAAAAATAAAATCTTTAAAAAAAAAAAAAATGCTTTTCTTACTGGGTTAGCTGCATTCTGTTTCCAAAGGTGCAATGCTCCATGGAAAGCATGAGCAATGATCATGGAACCATCTTCATTGAACTGGCAATCATAAAATCCCAGAGTATTTCCACCCACTTCACCTACTCGAACCTATGCAATAATAGATAGAAAACAATTTATAATCAATAGTCCACATTTCTCACAATAGAAACCATTGATTCCAGAGATTATGTTCTCACTTATTTAACATATACATGTAAAGAGTGAACATTTGCAGCTCTAGGAACTTACACTTGGGATTTAAATAATCAGTTTATTAAACCCAATTTTATGTTCCTTCAATACCCACATTTTTACCTGCTCTAGCCAAACTCCTGACTCTTCATCTGGAGCCCAGAGAATCATGGTTTTATCCATCGAGGCAGACAACAATCTCATTGGCTGCTGTAGAACACCATCTAAAAAATAAAAACTAATGTTTTTAGGTGATCAACAAGCATGATGTTTGTAGATTACCAGAAAAAAACAATATGGGTACTGTGAAAACATTTACTGCAGCACTGCAATAGCGAAATTTTGGAAACAACACAAATGCCTACCATTGGAAGAACAGATAAGTTGTGGTACAGTTAGACAATGGAACATCAGACTTCAATAAAAATCAACAAACTAGGGCTACATGAATCAACATGGATACAACTCCAAAACATATTAAGCTAAAAAGGCAAGTTGTAAGATGATAGATACATATTGATATTGCTTTAGTAGCTATAAAACAATATTGTTTATGGCTATACAAATGTATAGTGAAAGTATAAAAAAATGCATGGGAATGATATGCACTGAATTCAGTACTGCAGTTGCCTCTAGGAAAGGATGGAGGGGAAAGGGTTCAGGAAAGAATACACAGGGGTCTTCAATATCAATGACAGCTAATTTACTCATTTTTTTAAATTGCAGCAAATACAGAATAACATAATAAAGCTGAATAGTGGTTATCTGAGCATTAATTATTGATATTCACTACTCTTGTCTTAGGGAAGTGGCTAGGGGAACAATATGAAGCTATGCCTTGCTCAACTCTATACTCCAGCACTAGCTTGAGCATGCACAGAACCATCATTCCATAAATGGAAGTTAAGAGGAAAAGCAAGACAGGGAAAGAGTCTTATTTTTTCATAAATGATGTGTCTCAGTATTACCAACTTTATATGACCAAGGGTAGAGATTCCAGTGAAGTTGGCTTGAAAGTCAATTTTTCTTAAATCCCATAAAGACTAGGTGGAAACTTTTAAGAGAAAAAGTTAACAGGGGTGTGGTGGTTTCAGCATCAGGGGCAGGAACCATACTTTGCCTGCTCATGAGTATAATCTTCAATGGAACTGAGTGTCCAGCATAACGGTTAACAGGACTGGAGTACGACACTTTGCCAACTTGAAAATGTCTTCTATTTGAGATTTCTAATCACACACAAAAAATCCTCCACTTGATCTGGTCAGCTTAAAACTCTGTATGTGAGATTTAACTGAAATAAGGGATATGTTTATGTTTTTCTTCCTACCTTTATAAAATGAAGGTTGCCAATGAACTGCATTTACCCAGTTTTCGTGACCAGCCAGCACAGTTTCCAGAGTAATCGCAAATTCTATTTTAATACCTATAACAAAAGCAACGAAGAAGTATTCTTTCCTCAAAGCTCTTCTAAGAAGAACCTTTCACTATCAACTCAGCTTTATTTATATCCCCCCAAAAATCAGAACAAAACGTGATTTAGACTCAACAAAAAGAACATGCCTTCTAAATTTCATTAACTTCACCCACTGTTTAAAATTACAGGAGAAAAAGTTCTAAAAACAGATGAATTTTTCTCTATCTGATCATAAATAAATATTAAGGAATATATTCTATTTTTAAAATTTTCTGTGATAGCTATGTTATACTGCAATTAAAAAGCAAAAACAGACATGCCAGCCTCCTTGCTATGCTCATTCAGTGTAATAATCTAAAATACCGTTAAAAAAAATTAAATGAAAAAATAAAGGCAGTATGGTGACCTTTCAAACAAAACAGTTAATGAAAACATCACAAAAAATTTCATATTTGGGAACAGCTATTTATAATATGCTAGTTATAGTATTTCTTAGTCCTCCCCATAAAACTACATTACCAAAGTCTCAACTCTAATGAGACTTATAATCAATAAGAGTAGTAACAAAGAAGCAAACTCCTGGGTGAACAAAGCTCACTGAGAACTAACTTTATAATTTAGATACACATTCAAAAAATATCTCCTTCAAGTACAACATTCCCACAGGACCTACCATGTAGAAGTACTGTTCTGATGCCAGATACTAAGAAAATTAGAATTACATATACTACTCAAATGTAGGGATTTAGCTTGTCTCTTATGAATATCTTCCAAGAAAGAAATGGGTAAATCACATTATTCCTTTAGATTTTCCTTTGCTAAAACTGCAAATTAAGTAACATTTTACAATTAATTTATTGAGAAAACATTAAACATTTTCATCAACTTTTTAAACATCTCACCAACATGGTTTAGAAGAAAACTAAATTTCATAGATGAAAAATGACTCATTCTCACATGAAAATAAAAAAGGAAAAATGCCTACTATCAGTTTCATGAAGGGATCTGATAATTCTGAAAAACTAACCTTCACATAGGTGTGTGGTTAACAGACAAAGCAATCAGCTAGTTGACCTAAGTATCGTTACATCGAATATTTTCATTATTACTCACTTTCATTTTCTACAGTGAAAGTATTTTCCTTCAGTCTTACATTATCATCATACTGAGTTTCTAAAGATGTTGATTTTATATACAGCCTCCATATTCGTATCAGGCAATCTTGTGAACAGCTTGCTAGGAAAAGATCTCTACCTAATTAAAAAACAAAATTTTATTATTTTAAAAATATTACATTCTTAAATTTAGGTACAAGACTTTCTCCTCTACAATATGCACATTTCTAGACTTCTTGAAAAAATTAGATTTTGCTTCTTTACCCTTCATTCATTTGACCTATATTCATTTTTAATAACATTGACAAATATATATTCAATGCTAATAAATGATTATATACATGTGGTACTCTTATATTACTAAGAACGTCTGCATGTGGAATAATCAGCTAGTGTCCTCTTTTAAACACCAACTTGTTTCCTCCTCTACCACCCCAACTAATGGCTAATAGAAGGAATAAGTATCCTCTTTTCTAATTGGGACATAGAAAACTATAACAAAGAAAATTTACAATTAAAATGTAAGAGGCTGCTTTCTTGTAAGTATACACATACTTGTCCCCATCATAAATAGTTCAGCAAAATTTCATACTGACCAAAGGCTGCCCACTCCACGCCTCTTATCCAATCCTCATGTCCACAGAGAAAAAGCACTTTCTGAAACTAGTAAGATAAAAATCATCGGGCTTGATGTAAGAATTTAATATTTTCATGTATATCATTGATTTCATTTGGTCTTGGCCAGTCCCATGCATCCTTTTTCTTTTACTGGGAACACTATCTGATTAGATGTAAGATAGAGATCTCACTTGAGAATGAAAAATCCCATAACCATCTAAATCATCTAACTGAGCAATGCTGAGCAAATAATATAATATCTGTAGACCTCAAATACTCTAAATGTTTGCAAGGTAAAACGACAAATGCTGTCATGCAATATAGAAAAGTGTTGGGTAGCTGGATATTCACAACCATTTTAAACTTTCTTATATCATGCAAAGAAACAAATATCTCCATTATTAAATAAATGAGCCTAGAGTTAACCAATCCCCTTTTTAGAAATTCTCTCCTCCAGTTTAACCACTCAAACAGTAAAGCTCAGGACAAATAAAGACTACCAGGGAGTGTTTCACCAGAGCTATGTTATACTTCATTTAACATTTTTTTTTAAAACTCACTACCACGGCATCTTCATTCTCTCCTTCCCCCACCTAACAACCTGTTTTCCCCTAACAACTCTAGAGCTGGTGGACAAGGCAGCAGTTGCTTCGTGTTCAGAGAAACTCTAATGGAGGATTGTCAAAAAGAGCCTTCTACCGGTACATGTATTTTGGTTTAGATGAGAACATTCCTAAAATTCTATTATCTGGAAATAGTGTATATTAAAGATATGTAATTAAGCAGGACATAATTCCAGCCTCTTAATAAACGCCATTAATTACCTGATCATTTTGTTGAACAAATAAGTGAATTCTGCAGTCATCATCGCCACATGCTAATATTGGTACTGGAGGAAAAATAAAGCGGCTTCATTATAAGTATTCCATCATATGTTACCATTATCACCTACGCTGGATTCTAAGCTCTAGATAAAGAATTCTGACTTCTATTTCCCAAACCACTGAGCAAATAAATTGAAAGTGCTCAATAAATGTCTCTAGGAATAAAATGAACACTCTAAAATGTTCTATTAAATGGTTACTTGGCAAAAAATGACTATTAATTAACTGAGAGTCCTTTCCTCCATTCTGTCATTAATGATAAAAAGGAACAGTGAAAAGAGAAGCTCAAGAGCAACTTTGGAGCATTTTCAGTGTGTCAGCCAGAGACTAGTACAAAAAGTTGTTAGCCCACTGAATAATAAAACAGAAGAGTTACTACGAGCCTAGCATTATGGCTATTGCACAAAGATTCAAGGGTATGTTTGTTACTTGAGGATCTTATCTTTTGTTTGAGAATTCAACAGTAAAGCAAAAATCACAAAGCAATTAGATAACAAAATAAACGGGCATGTAATTAAATATGTGGTTAAAAAGCTATGAAAAGTGCAACTGTAAAATTGGTTTCCTTTAATAAGATAAAAAACTAATTTACATTACCAAGGGACAGCCCTAATGACCGTGGAGCAACATAAAATAGGAACTCCTTTTCTAAGGAGACACTATGCTGCTAAGTATACTTTTCAAAGATTTGCTCACTTTAAATCAACTAAAAACAAAAACAAAAGACTCTAGTCACTTGGCCTTAATGAAGATGGGAAGAAATTAAACTCTAGGTTATGAAACCAGAATGCGTGCAGTTCCTCCTTCCAGGGAGCCGTCACCCAAGTGGGTGTACCACATGAAACCATGCAGTTGCAGCTCCTGCCACAGACAGCAATAGAGGCTGGTGACTTCCAGGCCCTGCCTCTATTAGGCCTGTCCTCCAGGTTACTGAGGCGGCAAAGAGACAGAATGACCCATATTGGCCAGCATCTTTGTGGAGGATAATCAAAGAGAGGTACCGATGGGTTTCACAGAAACGGGAAATTTTTCTGTTTGGAGATTTTAAGTGGTCACAGGCAAACTGTCATGACGCAAGATGTGAAGGGGATGTCATCTTGAAAGAAATGCTCATATGGTCCATCTTCAGTACTTTTTCAACTTATCCCAGACCTTTACCTTCTAAAGAGTTAATTTTCCCAAGCTAGATCTATATATGTCAACAATATCTTTGATAAATAGCAGTATCAACCTTGAGTACGTATTAAGCCATTTAAACTGTCAACAGCTACCAAAATTCCTAATAGCTTCCCCTTACTTTATGTTCTATACTCAGTTCATTTGAATATTGAGAACAAAAGTATGTTATCCATGTCTCAACTTGTTTCATGAAAACATTCAGATAGAAAATTCAGACCTGATACCTTTTAGGTTCTGGTCATATGGAAATATACAAATATATTGCTCTTCTAATATATACTTAGCAGGATACTCACCATCAGTATCAGGCAAAAAAGATAAGCAGAGAGCCAGAGTGAACCCACTTCCAAAGTTCAAGGTCTGAAGGCACGTTACTAAGAAATAATAAAAACATCATGAACAACTCACTCTGAATTTAGAGGTTGGGTAGCATCACAGCCTGGTGCTGTCACAGCCCTGGGTGTCAGCAGGGAGATGAGAGAAGTCAATCTTGAGCCCCCTCTGACCCTCTGATTGATAAATGGCCAATTTTTATCAAGATTGCAGAACAAAATGACTCATGTGAAAAGGCTTAGAACAAATTTACATTAAAAAATAGTTTGGTATAGAGGAATTTTGAAAACATAAAAGAAACAAACATCTAAATTAGAACTATAAGTTTTAAAACTGCTTGAAAGACTGAAAAATATATGTATGCTCTTGTGGTTCTCATTCATTTGACAATTACTATTTCATTTGTTTGGATTATAATGTCCCTAAAACTCACCTTCCAAACCCCTTTTAGACCAGACTCGAACAGTAGAATCTGAAGCTGCAGAAACCATCAGTGTATGCAACACGTCGGATGCCCTCCTCTGGTAAACAGCATGCACTGCATAAACAGGTCCTTCATGGCCTTGGAGATGGACTGCTTTTAAAAGCTGAATCAGAGAGAATGACAAAAATATTACAATAAAAAAGGAATTACCGGTTTCACTTTTATTTAACTGGAATCACAGGATTAAAGGTACTCTTAAAAAATACCTGACCCAGAAATAGGTCCTTACAGCTGAGGAGAATGTAAACTTTCAAGAAGTCTGACCATATGAACACACAACATCTGCATACACTCTGACACAGCAATCTCCCATCTAAGAATCTACTCTGAAGAGATAACAGCACTGGTGTGACTAACAACAAAAGACGAATGCAGAAGGATATTCATCACACTCTTTATAATAGTGAAAAATTGTAATCACCCTAAAATTAATAGAGAACTCATTAGATAAATTATTGTTGACATACATTATAGTCAATAAAATGGACAATGTTGATAAACATATGCTTACTATCACGGAAAGATGTCCACGACACTGACATTTTTGAAGAACAAAGGACAGCTTTGTAGCATGTTCCTTCTTTTGGATTAGTCTAACCTTTCCTCTTGAAGAGATTCAGCATATACACTTTGACCTCATTACTTTACGTAACTGCAACACATAAGGAGGCACACAATCTCAGTTTGTCTCAATTTTACTGAAGTTAACCTTGCTATCCCGGTAAAAGTAGTGTCTTGCAGAATTCTTCATTGTGAAATTGATTTATTTTTGGCAATACTATGTGAGATTATACTTTGGGATTGAGTAAATATTCTATTCTCCATTAAACTTTTACCAATACTTTTAGTATCTACTCATGATACTTGCCTGAATTAAGTATAGCTGCAAAATGGGAAAACAGCAAACAGAAGTGGAAATCCCATTTATTTATCAAGTCTATTCGCTTGCCATGCAAGAATATTTCATATGGAATCATTTCTGCTATGTTGGGTCTATTTTCAGACTTCATATGTGTGAGATTCCACCACTTCCTTTGAAATGGATTTTCTCTGCCTCTCCGCTTATCTTTTTTGCCTGGTACTGATGGTGAGTATCCTGCTAAGTATGTATCTTCTGTAAATTGTCTGCTGAAATAGAGGTGTCCCTTAAACGTCTCCTCAGTTGTTTTCCCAATTACTTAAACAGAACTCTGCCATTCAAGAATGCAATTAATTGTTATGTAGAAGGGTTGTATGCTAACTTCCCTTAATCATTAACCTCTGGCTTCTTTAAAAAAACATTAAAAAAAACTCAGGTACAGTAAAATCTCTTTTATGTATAATTATACACACACAACTAGAGATGTGGAACAATGTTCTTCAGAATGTTAACTCTGTTGAGATTTTGTAGTTTTTTCCTTCTTTATACTTTTCTGTTTTTAAACTTTTTTTACATGAATCTATCATTATCCCCTAAAATATTACATCTATTGAAAATAGTCACTTCAAGTCTTTAAGCAAAGTTGTATTTCAGCCATCAGATAATTTTAAGAACTCAAAGAAATCTCTCAAGTTCACCGGCTTTTTAAAAAACAATGCTCACTATTCAAAGACTCAAGCCTCTCATTATACCAGCTTGGAATTATTTCCTTTTACCAGAAGTCAAGGTGTGTTGAGCACCTGTGTGCATGGAAATACACACAGGAAGGAACCCCTAAGTCCGTAAGATTATCATGTGTGGCCCCTTCCCCTAAATCCTCATTCCCTTCATCCCTCTTTTATGCCTTTCATCGTCCTTTTCTCCTCCTCCCTGTTCGGCCTCATGTTCTCCCCTCTGGCCTTTCCCGTCCAAGTTTGCTGTCTGCCATCAGCTTAATTTCACTAAAATTGGGACAAACTGACACCGGGTGCCTCCTGATGTGATGCACTTATGAGTGCTCAGATGGCTCTCTCTGGATTCCTCTGCCAACATCAATCCGAACAGGAGCTGAGTTTACTACAGTCCCCTTTGGTGCTCTCATTCAAGTTTTGGTAGCTCCAAAATCCCCAACTCCACACCTGCCCTTACTTTCTGAGGACAAATCTGGGTGTCTGGCCAGAAATTCAAATAATATGTCTACAACTGAATCCCACATCTGCCCTCCTACTTGCCTATTTTCCTTTGTAGAAGCACCTTTTTCTTGGGGCCCTAAGATAGATTATCACCATTTTTGATCACTCACTCTCCTAACTACCAGCTCCCCACTCCTTTGATAACTACCTAGTCAATGCCCAAATCATTTTTCCTTCAAAAATACACCCCATATCCCTTCCTTCATATTTTTCCTACTCTAATTTGGCACACTACTGCCAGATTAATCTTCTTTTGATATTCATACTCCTCTCTTTAGAAATCATCAATGACTTACAAATGCCTGCTAATAAAGAACAAACTTTTTAGGGGCCGGCCCCGTGGCCAAGTGGTTAAGTTCACACACTCCCCATCGGCAGCCCAGGGTTTCGCCAGTTCAGATCCTGGGCACGGACATGGCACTGCTCATCAAGCCATGATGAGGTGGCATCCCACACGCCACAACTAGACGGACCCACAGCTAAAAATATACAACTATGTACCAGGGGGCTTTGTGGAGAAAAAGGAAAAATAAAATCTTAAAAAAAAAAAAAAGAACAAACCTTTTAAGCTAGTATTCACATTCACACACAGTTGACTCTTATTCTACTTCTCTAATATTACTGCCCACAATGTAGCATCTAGCAACATTTCTGAAACTGTATACCTCAGAGTTACAAGGGATTCTAAGAAATTTAAAAGGAAAAAAAATCGGACAAGCAATAAGTTTGGGAAGTGCTAGTTAAACAAAGATAAGCAGATTCGTCTGTATCAGAACTTTTCAGAGCCTTCACTACGCTCATGTGCGTTGGGATTCTCTAAGACAGGTATACAATACACAGTATTTCCAAAACTTGATCGGCCACAGATTCCTTTGTACACGGACCCTCTTGAGAGATGAATAATTCTCTGAACAAACTTCAGAAAGCTCTGCCCAAAAGACATCATAGGCTTTGGTTAAAACTGGATACTCCTGAGCAGGTGTTATCCTTTCTCCTCTGAGCTTTTATATATGTATTTTTCCTACCTGGAATCGTCATCCCTTTCATTCCTCCCAAAGAAATAAATCATCTCACACTTTAAGACCCAACTCAAAGGCCACCTCTTAAATCTCTCCTGAACTCTCACAGCACCACGGTTGTGGTACAGCAAGTTAGAGCGCCTACGCATGTAGCACCCCTGTACTTTATTTATTCAAGTACATTTTCCTTCAAACCTCTGTACCTGATTTATGAATAGGATTCTGCCTCATCTACATGTTCTGCGTGGCGGATGTTCAAATATCTAATGCAAATTTTCTTTTTTAAGATTTTTTTTATTTTTCTTTTTTCTCCCCAAAGGCCCCTGGTACATAGTTGTGCATTTTTAGTTGTAGGTCCTTCTAGTGGTGGCATGCAGGATGCTGCCTCAGCGTGGCTTGAAGAGCGGGGCCATGTCTGCACCCAGGATTCGAACCGGTGAAACCCTGGGCTGTCGAAGTGGATCACACGACCTTAACCACTCGACCACGGGGTCAGCCCTCTAATGCACATTTTTTTTTAACTCACTTTTCTCTTTTAATCTTTGCTTACAAGTAGAAACAGTCTAACTGTTCCTCCATTCACATCCAGCATTGCAGATCATAACATCACTCAGGATTATATAAATGTATCCACATGGCAACAGCTGTCCCACGAACACAACAGTATTAATTTTTGCTACCACTGAAAATAGAACAAACAGCCCACGTAAGAGAAGTTTGAAAATTATTCCAAAATAATGGGAAATTCACAGAAATGATTGACAACATATGAATATGGGAGCAGATATTAGCAGAAAGGGTACAGGGCCTGTGAAGCAAGGAAGACAGAGGATCTGGATTACTGATAAGCAAGAATGAGGCAACTTCATAAAGGAAGAACACAGTAGAAATAAGGAAAAAACTGAAAATAAAAGTAGATATAACACGCATTACTTCTAACTACAGTCATGTACCAGATAATGATGTTTCAGTCAGTGACAGACCATGTATACAACAGTGGTCCCATAAGGTTAGTACCATATAGCCTAGGTGTATAGTCGGCTATACCATCTAGGTTTGCATAAGTACACTCCATGATGTTCACAAAACGACGAACTTGCCTGACACATCTCTCAGGATGTATCCCCATTGTTAAATGATGCACGACTGTATACATGTATCTATACCCACCTGATTATTCTCTATTTCCCAGTGAATCACTTGATTATCAGATCCTCCAGAAACTAATTCAGTAGAAGGAGCTGAAAAAAAATTATCTCTCAGTAAATGCTTTTGTTTCTTTTTCCCCAGCTATTTTGAAAAATTTCAAAGTTATAAAAAAGCTATAAGAACACTCATATACCCTTTACCTAAATTTACCAACTGTTAACATTTTGCCGTATTGGCTTAATATCTTGCTCTCTATAGGTATATATACAGACCTTCGTTTTTGACAAACCATTTAAAAATAAGTTGCATACATGAAGCTCTCTGATCCTCAAACACTTTACAATATCCCCTAAGAACTGGAACATTCGCCTACATTATCACAATGCAATTATCACATTCAAGAATTTTAACATTGATATAGTATCCTTATATAATATACAGTCCATATGAAAATTTCTCCAGATTGTCCCAGTAATGTCATTCATAACTTTTTTTTTTGACTCAGAATCTAAGGACCACACATTGCACGTTTAATTCTCACATCTTTTTAGCCTCCTTTAATCTAGAATAGTTTCCCAGTCCCACCCAACCCCATGCGGTTTTTTTTTTTGCCTGAGGACGATTTGCCCTGAGCTAACATCTGTCGCCAATCTCCCTTTATTTTATATGTGAGCCGCCATCATGGCATGGCCACTGAGAGACAAGGGGTGTAGGGCCACGCCCAGGAATCAAACCCGGGCCACCAAAGCAGAGCGCAATGAACTTAACCACTAGGCCACCAGGACTGGCCCAGTCCCCTATTTTTTGTGACAGTGAGAGTCCTAACCACTTGTTTTGCAGAATGTCCCTCAATTTGGATTTATCTGTTGTTTCCTCAAGATAAGATTCAGGCTAAACACTTTTGGCAGGAATAACACATATAAGACATAGTCAGTTGCTGCTTTGAAGTATATGGTATGTTTTTGAGATCAAACACCTATTTCCAAATAGCTCTTTTAAACACTTACAACTTCTTGTTGATAAGAAAGAGGAATAAGAACCAAAGAAGGGGAAATAATATAACAATTTTGATTTTCCATTTATTTGTTTCTTCTGCCCTAGGTGCTGTTTGCCTAAGGAACTTCAGATTTGTATTCAGAAGTCCGTTCATGTCATAACCCTGCTGCCTGCAGCTGTGATCTTAGCTTTAATTTCTTCATGTATCACAGAAATGAAACCATTTACTTAACTACATGCTTTTGAGAATTACCATAAGGTACATGAAAACAGTTATTTTAAAAATCAGACATTTTAAGGATATGAATGATATTATTAAGATTTTACATGTCACTGATACATGGGTTAGAAAGAATACCTGAATTACCTGGCAGTAGAGCCCTATTCTTAGAGGAAATCAATCATAATAATTACATATTACAGTGATACACAAGCAATTCATTTTATGTAACCTCACTTTTAAAGGGAAGATAAAATATACAAGCCCAAATTAATATTTTATAATGAATCCCTATACTGAGATTTCAAGAAGTCTTTGATGTCATTTGGTGGCAATTAATATAATTACAATTGTGTTTTAATATCTGCACTAACTGCCACTCTTTCTACTATTTAATGGTTTATATTGACCCAATGTGACTAATCCTACATTATCAACTGAAATAAGGAGCTTATTAAACTTTTTTTTTTAATGTCACAGATAAAATCATAGCAGTCTCACTAACTCAAAAATTCTGCATTTGTGTCTGGCTCATAAAGCTCTCAATAAATGTTTATGGAATGAAAAATAAATTAATTCAGAGTCCATAAGAATTCTACAGTAAGTATATTTAAGACATGAGGAAAATTCCACAGGACTGTGGAAGCACCATCCAAAATACAATACATTAATTAAAAATTCTGGAGTCACAGAATCTTAGAAATGAGAGACCTGGAGACAATCTAGTCTAGCAATTCTTAAATCTTTTTGGTGTCAAGACTCTTTTTATACTCAAAATTTTTTGAAGACCCTAAAGAGCTTTTCTCTATATGGACTATATGTACCAATATTAAGCACATTAGAAATTAAAACTGAGAAATTTGAAAAATACTTGTTTATTAGTTTACTTAAAAATAACATACATGTTAATATAAATAGCACTTTTCAGGGGAGGGAAGGACTCTATATTTTCCAAAACAAAAAATTAATTTGTTTCACATTTCTGCAAATCACTTTAACGTGTGCCTTTATTAGACTACAGCTGGATTTTCCTATCTGCTTCTCTATTTAATCTGTTGCGATACCAACATCATGTGGCTGCTAGAAAACGTAACTGCACACTTGTGATAGAACGAAAGTGAAAACTGTGAATAACTTAGTATTATTCTGAAAATAATTTTGACCCCACAAATGTCACGAACCTTTAAAGGTCCCCTGATCCAGTCCAAGCCTTTACTTTTCAGATGTTACTAACGTGCAATCTGGAGTCAACAGAGTTGCAATGTCCTGCCTAAAAGAGCAACAGTTTGTCTGTGGCAGGAAGAAACCTCCAAGTTAAATCTTCTGAATCCCAGCCTGGGCCCCAACACAGGCCCTGTTTCCAGGCTTTCAATTAAAAGCTGTGGGCAATGGCAGGGGTCTCACCACAGTCACGGGCTGCCTCTATCCTCATCCTAAGCACTGCTGTGTCCTCCATGCTTCAACTGCTGCAAAAGTACAGATCAGATATTTCACTGGGCATATCATTTTTCTTCTGTCTTTCAATTGTATAATATCAGATAAGCTAAGGCTAACTCAGGCGTGATGAAAGAAAAATGACTAACCATACTTTATCAGAAAACAACTGAGATCAGTTTTAACAATCAAATTAATACTTACAACCATCCTGTTTACAAATCCACTGTACACAATTGACTCGAGCAGCGTGACCATTCAGGTTGGTGATAACAACTCTTTTCTTTAGAAAAGAAAACACCAGTTAGCGAATTAGAATTTATCCTACAGAGGAATTAATAAATTAATTAAAATCAGATTTCAGTGTTTTTAATGCTAACATAAAGTTCAGGATTACTTCACACAGAATGGCCTTCCTTAACTTTTTTCTTTTTGAGGAAGATTAGCCCTGAGCTAACATCAGCTGCCAATCCTCCTCTTTTTGGTGAGGAAGGCTGACCCTGAGCTAACATCTGTGCCCATCTTCCTCTACTTTATATGTGGCACGC